CACATGCCATATTCCTGTATGTTGATGCAGCAGTACTCAATGGACCTGGTCGCGGCTTATCATTCGTCTCCTCTCTTGCAAAAAAAATGGGGATGGTTTGGAATTGAGTCGAAGCCACACAGTGTCTTTCCGGCCAGATTCCAAAGAGACGTTTCTAGAGCAGGAGGGATAGTCACGAACAAACGTCACAACTCTACCGTTCTTCACTGTAGTAAATCTCGTCTTTCGGAAAAGTTAGGTAGCTAGCAGGGGTGGAATTGGAAATTATGGTCTCCACCAAGAAGATTATGGTGGGGCTATCTGACTGAGGATAGTGATGAACAGCACCAATATTGCTCTAATCCTGCAAATGTTGATGAAGCACATTTTATGTGTTGCTCGAGTTCACCCTTTTTCCGCCAGATATTCCGACAGTAGAGTGAGTTTACATCCAGAATTCTTGGTTCTCGGAGCAACCACCATTTCCTTGTTTTGAAGGGGATAGTGAAAATGGAGAAAATCGACTGCATAGGTGTGGAAACGGACATTTTAACGACACCCTGTCAAAATCAAGCGTGTGGTACCGCCTCGGTCTTTGTCATATATTTGACTTATAGCGATAACTTCAACATTGTTATTACAATTTCGATAGCCACATCAGATCCAGGTGTTGACACGGTCGTAGCGGATCATAATATATATGACATCAAGGCAACATCAACATTAATTTCCTGTGTTGAAATTCAGTTAGAATTAGGACCGAATATCGATGAAGACAGAAAAATAATGTTTGTAAGATTTTAATAAATTTTGCTGGACTTAAGACCATTAAATGCCATATATCGCTCAAAATGCCTGACTAGCAGTCGTAAGTATGCTGAAAAAACGAAACCTATCGTAATTCACCCAAATCTTCCTAGTCAGTTTCATGTAACTCGTATATTCGTCGGCATCTCGTCTAGGATGCCATCCCACCAACTAATGTGTAGGAAAGAATTTCCTCTAAAAGCAGACAAGAGTAAAACAGATACCATCGGCTAGAACTTGGACATATGCTATAAACCTTCGAAGATATTTGATACGCTGAATATACATTACAGTAAAAAATCACAGACACAGAATCTCTGTTTCGCGATATTAACATAACTGTAAATTTTGGAATTTACCCTCGGGCTACACGTAACCTTTCCTAGAGCCCGATGAGAAAAAGAACATGCCGAAAATGTTGGAGTGAAAAATATAAATCCAATAAATTTATAATGGCGTGGTATCCATTCATATGGAACTCGTTTGGTAATAACCATATATTACAATAATGGTTTGTTTAGCCTTGTGTGTTATGCAAGTCAAGGTGTCTGCAGCGTCTTCAGGAAATGAGACTTCTAGCTGGTTTACTGTTTAATTTGTATGAAATAAATGCGATATTATAAGCAATCGAATTGTAATCATGAAAGCTTTTGAATCTGATTTTCTACGTTTTACTTCCCAGCCTGACAGGCGTGGGAGGAATTGTAATCGTCAAACCAAAATGATGTACTTTTTGAACGTAATTAAAACAAATACATCACAAAAAACCATGTCACAGAGCATCCTACTTAGAGCAAAGGCCAGTGCAAAAAAATGACCTGTGTTAGTAGCGCCATCTCTTGCAAGAAACATGTAACACTTTGATTCCTTTCCCAGTTTTACTTATACTTCCGCTTATCAACTTCCGCTGCCTTTTAATTTCATTTTTATTGATGTACAGGTATTTAGACGATTTAGGGCTTTTCATTGAGAAAACCGAATTAATTTCAATGTTTCAGTCATAAAAAACCTTCTTTACATTATCTTTGCTGTAATTTTAGCCATATAACGTTAAGGATTTTAAATATTGCATTAACTCTAAGGAATATAGTATCACCCTTTTGTATGCTGCTACAGCACTGATGGATTTGGGGTGGATTAGTAATTTACACACAGGTTTTTTTTATCATAAATCGATAATGCTATATCTTGTATGTCATTGAAGCTTTGTATCTGTTGAGGAATACATGAATAAATATTTGTCAACATTTAGTTTCTTCTGAATTCATTATGCTTGGACACCAGATGTCTCCTTTCAAAATGCCATTCATATACATTTACCATACTCTAAAGTAATAAAATTGTTTATCTTATTGACCTCGTATTACAAGCACGCTGATTTACCGCGAGAACACACGCTATAAGACTTGACTATATAAAATCCTCTAGTCTTCTCTATATAATAGTCAAGTACCAAATGGGGAAAGGGTAGGATAGATCATCCGGCAACACTGCTAACACAGTTTATATTACTTTGTCTGCATGTACAGAGGTCTCACCATATATACACTGAATACCAAGTTTGTCTGAAGGCTTGAGTTCAATGTGTATGAGAGAGAAGTGTCTATAGGCATATATGTCAGAAAGACATAGAAGCCGGCTGGATAGCGAAGCTCATCACCACGTTGCTTAGCAACAGTGGCTCGGCAATCTGCCTCGCTGTCAATATGTTACAACGGTTCTTTGAATTCAGATGCATATTGAAAATACGCGTTATTTTATTATTTACTTACAAAATAATGGTTTTATTCTGAGCGTACACATGTTTGATTTGTGAATTGTGTCGAATCTGTTTACGATATATTCCTGATCGGCTCTAATGGCCACATATTCTGCAACATCGCATCATTGGTTCGCTTGGTAACATGGCGTACATCTCGTACTTTCCAAGGGAAGGTTTCCACCTCCATGATCATAGATGAGCGATTTTGGTCAGTACTCATCTAGCGCTCATTGAGAGAAGTCGTTCTGCTTTTACCTGCGTACACGCATAATGGTATTTGCTTCATCACTAACACTAATTCGCATAAAAACTGAAATAAATAGATCTAGTAAAAATGAGAACAAGAGACTAAGTTAAATAATCGAACAGACCTGATCAACAGTAACCTAATCAATTGTAGCAGCCTATGTGAGCATTTTCGGGTGTAACATATCGACAACGCGGCAGATTGCACGACTTTCTACGTCACCGTCCCTAGGTAATGCCGGCTTCTATATCTTTCTGTGTGGTGATGCACACTTCTCGCGCTTGCCTCTTGTACACATTGAACTTAATCCGTCAGACAAATTTGGTATTTCTTGTATAGTAACGACTCTGAGGATAGTGACGTGCAAGCACGCTACTATCTTTCTGTTTGGTAATACTACTACTATAGTTCCTGCAGGTGCAAGCCCGCGATCGTTTTTGAGGAACCTGGCTTGAGAGAATTATTTAGCTGTACTGACCAATGAATGAAAAAAATATAAAAGAAGGTTGTGACAAAATATTCAGGTACTAGAAGTAATTGGATTGAATTATCATAGACAGATAATGGATCGATGTTGATTAGATCGCAACAAGGTATTATCAAATTTTATTGTTCTGACCGAATATCAATATTTTGTCGAAATAAGACGCCACAAAGTGCTATTAATTACCAGAATCGTCCACTGCGAACGTGAAAACAGCAGGCTCTCTGCGGAAACTGTATGCCAGCTCGCGTTGACAGCCGGGTCACCACAGTGCCGTTAATCATGGCCCACTAGATATTGAACAAACTAGTAATATAGCTTTTGTTGGTTCCACCTCAGACGGTCAACCGTGGACAGCTGTTTCGTGCTATTTGTAAACTCTTCAGCATAGTGTAGACTTGGTCTCGGTGGACGACGAACTGTCAGTATGACTACTTGCATGTCATGGGCGCGCGATTTCTGTTTACCCATGGTCATCTTCGATATATATATATATATATATATATATAAATACAGGGTGACTTTGAAGTTGAGTCATTAATTTTCAGATAATGATTGTAGAAGGAAGATAAACCAAAATATGTGTGTAAACATAAAAAAAAATAAAAAAAAAATATTACCTTGTTTTATAAAGTATCCTCCCGACAAGTATTTCAGTGCGGACCTGTATTTGATCGTGCGGTCTTGGAGCATCGGCATGCCCTCCCTGTGAGGTCTTAAGTCACCTGATTCACTAGCCCTTTGTACTACATTAACAAAGGCACGAGGGGTTGGTTGCACTCGATTGGGAAACCGATCCGCATAAATCCGTGATGCCGCGTAAATAAGAATCATGTCCACAAGTTCAGCATTTTCGTAAACATGTGCCATTTTGATTTCGTTTGAGCCACGCAACAGACACCACTATTCACTCACGCGTTACCGACTGACACTGACTGTATACAACTGAATAAAATAATTGTAAAAACATCGTTCCAAATTCTTTTGCTTTTTTGTTTCCGATACGATGAACCGATAAGGCGGATTATATCCGTTGTCGCCAAACACGAGCACATAATATTATTATTGAGACAGGGCGGTACTCAAACTTCCAAAGGGCTATAACTTTGTTACTTTAATTTTACCAGAAAAATGGTAAAGGAAGAAAACACTTCTTTTGATCAGATCTACTCACTGTTAAAATAAATGACTCAACTTCGAAGTCCCCCTGTATATATATATAAAACATAGTTGTGCCTGAATATACAACTACAATGCCGACCGCCTAAATTTAAAGTATTTTCGCAAAGTGTGTATGCAAGCGCGAGTAGCAGCTGCGTAACGGATTTGCTTGCAGTGTGCAATTTTCCTTTGAGAAGTAATTCTATAGATGTCGTTTTCATTACCAAGAATATGTTATTAAGGCCATCCATGCAAATATGCCAAGCTTGTTTCGACTTACTGGACATCGAAAATGAATTTGGTACCACCACTATTACGTCATGTTTTTGCATAACGGTCCCTCACCGATAAAAGAATCCGTCAACCACCGATCGATTAACACCGGGCGAGAGAAAGGATGAAGGAAGCAAGCTGTGCAGTATGCCGTGTCGGGCGCTAAATTTCGATTTAACACTCATAATATACTCATAATGTATTCAGAGGCACGCTTCCATCTTTCATCGATACGTATTGAGTATTTGTGTTTTGTAAACCTTATAAATATCAATAGAATTTTTAAGGAGGCCACCGCTTTGTCAGCGTGTACCTGAATGGGGTTGCGCTTTTCTGCAAACCGAAGACCGCAAATGCAGCGCCTACTCAGACTACGGAGTGAGCAAAGGGACAATATGTCAAGGGGGTAGATGGTTTAATTGTGTTGTTATTGTAATAATACGATTGTAATAACGACAAGGTGCTCCGCGCTGCAAGGCATACAAAAGTAACGGAAGACAACTATAGAGAGCCCATGTTGAACCGGACCAGATTATATTATATAGTATATCAGGTAATCAAATAAGTTCGTGCGGTTGCTGTATATCGCACATTGCCATGCATGTAGTTGATCATCGATAGCGATTGTTTGTTACCTGTTGTCACTTTAGTATGAATTCTTCTTTTCTCACACACATAAAAAGTTGCTGATAATTGTTACATACCTAGTTTTAATAATTGAAAATGGCGACGAATAAAACAGTAGTTCGAAGTTGCTTACTGTATGAGTACAAACTTGGTACAAAAGCTGCAGCGGCGGCGCGAAAAATATGTACCGCATTCGGAGATGATGCCGTTAGTGATCGAACAGCACAGAAGTGGTTCATCAAATCTTCTCCGGGAGATCTCAGTTTGAGCGATGAACCGCGACAGGCTGTGGGCGCAAATTCTAGGACAACGTGCCAAGAACTTGCAAAAATGTTCAGAGTGAGTCCTGAAACTATTCGTTTGCATCTTGATCAGCTAGGAAAGACATGGAAGTTAAGCACATGGGTTCCACATGAACTGACAAACAATAACAAATTGTGTCGTCTTACCAATTGTTCAGCGAACATTTCACGCAACGCTAATGAACCATTTCGTAATCGGTTATTAACCTGCGACGAAAAATGGATCTTGTATTCGAATTCTAAGCGTTCGTATCATTGGTTGTTGTCTACTGATTCGGTACCACACACGCTCAAGGCTTCCTTGCACCCAAACAAGGTTTTGTTGTGTGTTTGGTGGACAGCAACTGGAATTGTCCATTATGAGTTTTTGGAAAGGGGTCAAACCATCACTGCTAACTTGTATTGTGAGCAGCTTCAACGAGTACAAGCAGCGCTCATCCAGAAACAGCCTTCTTTGATCAATCGGAGTAAGGATAGCGCCAAGCCCCATACCGCAAAAGTGACGAGAAAAAATTTGTGAACTCGGCTGGAAAACGTTACCGCACCCGCCATATTCTCTCGACACTTCGCGCAGTGATTATCACCTTTTTTTTGTCTGTTGACAACTGTATGCGGTACCGACGGATCACAACTCGAGATGGTGTAATAAATGCAGTCCCTCAATTGTTTGACTCCAAATCCATGGAGTTCTACAATACCGGCATACAAAAATTGATTCCACGTTGGCAAAAGGTCATTGAATGTGATGGTAATTACTTCGACGAATAAATAGTGACTTATTGTTTCTCAATAAAAATTTATATTCTTCTACTAAAAACTGCACGAACTTACTTGGTTACCTGATACAACAAGGTATATGACAAAACAAAGATCAAATAAACAGAGTTAATAGGGATTGCTACATATTATTTGAAAGCTAACAAAACTACAGCTTTGAGAAGAACGGTAACTCCATTTGTTAGGAACATTACGGTCACAAGAAACTTAGATCAAAAGGATATTCGTCACCATAGCTCTCAGTGTAACAGATCTTGTTTGTAACAAATGATCAATTTATTCAGAACGTATCATTTCCAGCCTTTGTGCTAGCTCATGTGAACATGTTACCAATAAGCTAAGACACCAGCTCGACTGACGACGTAGCAACTGATTAAACACACACCTTCAGCACTAGAGGTCTTGAAATACTTTTTATCATACCAATTTTTCTTGACACCGAGACATTTGTTTTAGAATTCCAGTATCATTTAAGTTTGCTATGTTGATAATTCCTAAAAAAAAATGTTGTTCCTTGAAGTATCAGGTTCCAGCAGTACCCCAATGGGAATGATCAAGTTCTCATTTTATTTTGTATCGCTTCTCTAAAATACAACTTACTAACTTTCTGTCCCGTGGTTCTTCCCTCGGAAGGTGTAGTAACTAAATTTCCCAAGCTTGAAAATTGGGTATCAATTTATTAATGTCATCTAAGATACAAAACGTGATCGGACTATAGCATTACTTAAGAGCAATGCAAGGGTAATGTCAGTAACAGTTTCAAGCGTACGAAGTCGCGGGGACAGCCAGGATGGAGCATCTTTATCGCTTATTTACTGCCACAGGCTGAGTGGGGTGATGCCAGGCCGGGATGTTGCCTGTCTGACGCTGACGGTGGAGATTTTGTACAATTAGTTGATTGCAAAACAGAATATACAGAAATTTATTAGCGCAAATGTCCTGCTGATAGAAAATTCTGTTAGTGTCAGTTTGTCTGTATAGCAATATAATTTTAATATATCCACTTAGAAAAATTCTGAAAGTTAATAGCTTTCGTAAATCCTTGATGCACTAACATTGTAGCTCATCGACGTTCTAAGAAAGAAATGTTGACTCTTGATAGATCGGTAACTCAAAATTACAATTTTCCATACTTGCAAGACTTTTAGTTTGACAGATGTCTGCAGTTACTTACGTTTCCATTGATGCTCAGCAGTTCACCTGTCATTCCCCTGATGACGACTAGAGATTTAACATTAATATTGAAACATTATCAGCGTATTGTCGCTCTATAGGATATGAAAATTATTCATGAAACTCATTGGATAGGGATTTCAAAAAACAATTGTGTTTGTGCAGAATGGTATGAGATGTTTTGCCTAGATTGATGCAAAAACACTGTACGTTACGTTTTTCTTGAATTAAAGTAACTCAGTCATGCTGAGAAACCTTTTTTGCAAGTTTTATTTTGCTACCAGTTCAGTTCAACGTCGGTAAAGCTAATTATTGGTTGATGTACAGGCTAAGTGGTTATTATCGCATAGAAATCGTTTGATTTTGCTGGAACAGACTTTGAAGTAGAATTGAACTCTCATCCGCAGATGTGTATAAAACCCTGTTCTTGTTTTGTGATGACAACTTGGTACATAGCAGTGTCAAAGGTTTGTTTGATTTATGTCTAGGCCTGTCTACAATGTTGTATTCACAATAAGATTTTCAGTGTACTATATGACATCTTCAGTATCACGTACGAAAATTTGTGTAACTATTGGTATTGATCAGTGATTATGTATGTACTAAAGCTCTTATATCAATCAGCTCGGAAGATACGTACCTTATTTTTTCGACTTTAAAATTATGTTTTCAACACCCGGTATCTCAAGATTTTAGGAACAATATTTATATGATCATTTCGTTTTATTTTTTCTCTACTTTATGCACTACAAATATTGCTACGTTTTTCTGAATCGCTCTGGTCCAGCTGTACCACGACGATGACTATAGTAGTCACGTAAAATAAAAGAACGGAAATGAGTCTTATGATAGCTCAACTCCTCTAGCACAGACTTTGCTGCTCTACCTCTTGGATATGTGTAACATATATAGCATTTTAAACCTTTTTTACAGTTCAGAGTTTTTCTCATCAACTTACATAACTTTGTATCACTTTGTGATCTGCAGAAGTCTGACGTGACAGCCGAAACGTTAGCAAGAACCTACTATTGTAGTATTTAGCTGATCGCTAGTGTAAACGAGATGAGTCGTCAGTTAGCTAAGCTATACTAAAGCAACTCTGCCCATGGCCAAGCCTGAAAATCGCTTATTTTTTAACCAAATAACGAACTCTTCGATTTGATCGTTCTTCATTGTGTATACATACCTAAGTGTCGGTCAAGATTCTCGAAATACAAGTTTACCGTTCGTTGACTCAAGTGTGGGCTCGCATTTTTTCCTAGCAGACGACGATCAAGTGGTCACTCCCAAATCGTAACGACCGTTCGGGCCGTGTACCCAGCCTCCTAGATCCCGAACAATCCTCGGTAATCAGCTTTTCTATCGAAAACTAGATCGACCTTCCGGTTTTTCAGTCTAACGGCCGTCGGTCAGTCTACTGAATGCAAGAAATTGTGTGGATTTATCCCTCGAAAGTGGTCCAGACGAGAATCGGAATCTTCGTAGCGTAATCGGACGTAACAGGGTGTAATGCACGCGGTGTTGCCAGAAGTTAGGTGCAGATTTAGGTCAAGAGGTCATTAAGTATGCCAAGATTTTCGTCTCAGGATTAATGAATTTTTTTATCTCGGCAATTAAATATCATAGTCCCCATGGTGGTAATTACGCAGGCTGTTCTTCCAAGTTACGGTCAGTATAGATTATAGAATAGGGGATCGTATACAGAACTAAGCTTACTTCAATACTCTGTTAAAGTTCCGACTAACTGGACGTAATCTGTAAGCTATCTGTTAGCACCATAAAAAGAGGGCAGATTTAATTCAGTATCTCTTCCTCTGAGCATTCTTCGTGACGCTTCCACTCTCTAATCCAAACGGACCCAAGAAGCTTTTTATTTTCATTCTAGCTCAACCTATGTACATACAGTTCTTGAGAGTCTATAACCGCACTTCCGCCTAGGATATGTAATGTTCGAATCAAAGCTGCACAAAGAGGCTTTTTACAGATCTACTAACAGTCAGTCAGTCTTTGCTATGATGCTACCTCAGTAATTACGCTTTACCGGGGGTAAATGATTTTTGTCAGTCATTAATCTAAACCAAAAGCTAAATCGACGTCAGCAAAAATAAACTCACAGGGATTCGTATTCTTTGTACTTCTCCCATAAATGTAAAGAAATAGCTTGGAAAAAGGTATGACAATTTCTACAATACAGGGATCTCAATCTATACATGTTAGGTACTTTGAAGAAGTCTCATATACAAAGGTTGCATAAACACAGAATAGGAATGACTAGACGAGAAAAAACAAACAAAGCTAATAATTTTTACTTTGTCCTTAAATGAAACGTAACTGCAAATCGTGCACTTTTAGTTTTTTTGGTAATTACTCCGACAGCATGCTTTTTGACGGCAGAAAAAATAAAATATGTATACGTACTATTTAATTTATAATGTTTTGGTTTAACTCAATCCATGATGTAGATTATAATTCAATTATCACTTATCTTACGAAGTTCAGCAACCTAGAGAGCAATTCCATCTCTAAA